AAATATTATAACAAACAACTCTTTGTTTTTTCTAAGGCAACTTTTATATAACCAAAATGCATGAAAAATGGTTATATATAAAAATAAACAATTTTAACCAAAAAGTTGCCAAAGAAGACAAATATGAATTTTTCTTAATCAAGAGAAATCCATGCTTGTTTTCCAAAAACCAAAGATTATCAAACATAAAAAATCATTCTAACATATAAAAGATGGCTTTGATACCACTGTTGGGTTTTGATACAAAATATAAGTTTGTTTTTCACAAAAACCGGCAACAGAAGACTTTAAAAATAACAAGTTTATTTTTAGTTCATAACAAAACCAAACCATCATGGATCCATTTATAGAGGTTAGAAAGAAATAAAGACAACCATAGGATGTTTTAGAGATAACCTTTGGAGCCTTTGAACCCACTTGGTTTTGGGGTGTTGATGAAGATAACAAAAATCAAAGAATATGATTTCTCTACAAGTATCCACCATCAAGAGTAAGACACTTGGAATGCTAGTTCATTCTTGTATTCTTGAGTGTCATAAACCTTTGAGTGCTTAACTCAAATAAGCACTAAAGGAGACAACTCAAGAGGGCTTCTAATCACCAAAGTAAAGCACCAAACTTCAAAGAGTTGGAGCTTCTTCATACTCACGGTTTTTAGAGAGAAAAAAGGGAAAAAAGAAGACCAATAACTTAGCCAAAACTCATGCAAGGTACTCCCTTAAATACTCCATGAAAAGTAAAGCCTAAGATTAAATACTATAAAGTATTTCTAGCCTTTTGAAGCATGGGAGACAAAGCATGAAGGTTGAAAAGCAACCTCCATATTTGTTTATTAATTTCGCCATACCTCTTTAAAGAGGATGAATTCTTTATTTTTTATAAACTCTAAGTTTATAAAATATAAACTTTGTCTTTAGGTAAAAGACAAAAGATTCCAACTAGTCTAAAATGTTGTGCATAACTTATTAATTCATATCATATGAAATAATAACTAGTTATACTCTCTTAAAATTATTATTTTCACAAAACAATAATTATTCCCTAATTAAATACAAGAATTGATATTATTTATTAATAGTCATATTAATAATAAATATACAAAATGTGCCAACATGATAATGGTGTGACCCTATATGATCATATATTATTAGCAATATCACACCATAATGATTATTGGGCATATAAATCCAACAAGTACGCCCTGCGTACTCGGTAGGTTGGGCCTCAGAATCTTCGGTCTTCGGTTTGGGCCATATTTTGGGATTAGATGATTCAGGCCTTGTTGGGTCATCAAGTTTTGGGTTGATGCTTATTCTAGGTTCTCTTGGTGAAGGCCCACAAAGGGATTTGGGCCCAATTTGGAAAATTAGGCCATGATTGGGCCTTTTGGATTGTAGATTTGGGCCTTAGTTTTGGACCAAACTAGGTAAGGGGTAAAATGGTCTTTTTACCATAATTTGGATTGATGGTTATGGATTGGAATCCAATTATTAATTGGATGTTATTTGGTATTGATAGCTCGGGGATTTGTCGGACCAGCAGCTAGAGATTTATCAGTTTTATTTAGCAATTCAAGGTGAGTTTCCTCACAGTGTGCTTACCGGGCGGGGCCCGATGACCATTCGGTATGTTGTGTATCTTTGTAATTATTCCATGTGTTTTGTGTTTATATGTTTATATGTATTATATGTATACTAGGTGGGGCCCAATGACTGACAGATTTGTTTACCGAGCAGGGCCTGATGACGGGCGGGACACATTATGTGTTTATTATGTATGGTATGTGGTATTTTGGGGAACTAACTAAGCTTTGTGCTTACGGTTTTCGGTTTATGTTTCAGGTACTTCCAGTTCTAAAGGGAAGAGCTCGGGATGATTGCAGAACACATACAACCTCGTTCCACATTTTCTTGATTTACTCTGATGTGATATGATGATTGATATATTTGTTTATCTGGATTTGTATAATGATGTTTTTCGGATACTGGTTTTATTAATTTAAAAATGAAAATTTTTGGGTCTTATTTTTGGGACGTTACAAGCACATTAAGGGTAAAATGAAGTCGGCGGATTTCAAAATTGCAACACCCCACACTCTAACCAAGAACCTTAACGCTATGCTGAGACTCTTTTCTATATATATAAGTCCGACCCTTTCAATATAATTTATAATACTTATTATTACTAATGCTATTACTGTGATTATTATTACTAGCATTATTTATTCTTATTATATATTTTTATGAATGTATATATATTTTTAAATATATAAATATATTTTTAAAGCTAAAAATACGCTTTTAAATGTATAAATATATTTTAAAGGTTAAACTTTTAAAAAACATATTTATACATTTAAGTACGTAATTATATATTTGAAAGCATATGTATATTTTTAGAAGTTTATTTATACATTTAAAAATGTATTGATACGTTAAAAAAATTAATTATATTTATTCATATGTAATACGTATAAGTACATATTTATTTCGGATAAAAATATCATATACATACAAATATGAAAATACACACACATACACACACATATATATATATATATATATATATATATATATATATATATATATATATATATATATATATATATATATATATAATATCTTTTATCTTTAGCAAATAATGTGTCAATAGGTAACTAAATTCTTACTATTAGATGAAAATAATGAAGGGTTATGATCTTAGATATATATTTTAAAATTGACTAGTAAGCACCATATGATAACACTAAAATCATTTAAAAGGATATTATGGACATTTCATTCTTACTTAGTTATAAAATATAGGATAATTATGGGATGAATTTTTGATATTTTTTGAAACAATTTCAAATATAATCTGATTTTTGTAATTAATCTTAATTGATTTCCATCTTGTAAGAATATAAGTTTTCTCATAACCAAGGTAGTCACAGGGAAGCTTTTTTCATATTATAAGAATATGAATTTTTTGGTTTTGTAAGAATGAGAATTTAGGTTCATAGAATTCAGTTTTGTATAGAATTTTTTAAGAATCATATTTCATTATGATAAGAAAAAAAATTACAATGAAACATTGAAATATATATTATTGACGAATCATAGTTTAGTAAGAATGTAAAAAATACACCAGAACATGGAAGAAGATTACATTTCACTGTCGAAGTAATAACATCATTCTTTAAAGAATAACATCAAAAAATGAAAAAATTATTAAAATACAACAATTCTTAAAAAAAAGTTTACGAAAGAATAACAACAAAAGTCAAATTTTTTTAACAACCGGAACCATGCTTTTCTTTTGCTAATTAACTTGTACAAATTCCATGTCGCACCGGCACTACTTTCTTCTATATGTTTCTATACAAGAAATTTTTATATTTTCATTCTTTTTAGAATATAACGCCACGATAACACAGTTTAAAAGAAACATTCTTTGATTGTGGGGAAAAATGATTTTTTTGCTACCATGAAAAAAAAGGAAAACAGATGACCGGGGGCCTTAGGGAGCTATGCAAAAAGGCAAATATTCCTCTTAAATTTGAAAGGAATAAGTACAATGGGTTGCAAAAAAAAAAAAAAAAAGGATTAGAAATAAGAAAATGAAAGAATCTTGAAGGGTGATATGGTGTGATGAAATTTATACCTATTAACAATAGATCCCACCCAACCAAATTGGTTGCACTTTCAATAATTGGCACCTAAAAAAAACGTAACAATAAAATGCACCAAAGAAAAATAGAAATAAAAACCATTCTTGAAATAATACGAATAAAAATATACTTTCAATTGCAAATCGCCCAATCTGGCTAGTACAAATGGCAGATGCAGGGGCGTCCCGGTGATTTTGAGGGCCAAGTAAGAAAAATAAAAATCGGCCCCTAAAATATATATATATATATATATATATATATATATATATATATATAAGAAAATTTTATTTATATGGCGATAACTCGATAAATGTTATAAAGACAATAAAAAATGATAATATACAATATATAATCTTACATAGCTAAATGAATCGCGGGACTCTCATAGCACTATTCAGTTATTTAGAATATGTTTGTTAGTGTGCTACATTCGTTAATCAACGACAACAATTAGAATATAAAAGAAGATGTCGTCAGATTTAGAAATTAGGAATAGAAAAATGCTTAGTTGTGTAATTTCAGTTAACAATGAAAAAGTAGAGTGAGAGTGCAATATAAATGAGAGGTGGAGTCTAGTGGAATCAGAAAACCAAGAAACAAAAAATGTCGTTTGAGCTTTATAGTTGCTGCAAATTTGGAAGTTTGGAATTGGAATAAAACGTAAGATCTTGTTTACTGTAAATTTACATTAGCTTAAATGCAATTTTTAATTTTAAGCCCAATTTTTCAAAACATGACTTGTTGCAATTTTTAATTGTAGAGTTAGCTATTGGAATTGGAAAATACATGAGCTTTTTCTCTTTTTGATTATTGGATTTTCAATTGATATACTGTAAACTTAATTATATGTAAAATTGGACCCCCTCCACGACATGAGCCCTGTACGGTCGCCCACCTCACACACTCTCAAAGTCGCTTATGGGCGAATGGAAAAACAGGTTTTGTTGGGTAGATGCCAATAGTCTTTGTCTCCCTTTAGCTCTCCATCCTCTTCTCAAGTTGGATGATTTTGTGTACTTCCATCTGACTTGTTTAAACATGTCTCCTCTTTTTCTCGTATGTATATAAGAAGATCTTTCTTTCCAGAACTTGTACTTGTATTTTTTCATATGAGCCTAATATGGAAAGCTCGTAATCAATTTCCCGTGCTGTCGGTTCTTCACACATGTATGCATTTAATTTTCCTTTTTAATCATCCTAAATTAGTATTGCTTTTTTCTTCTTTCATTATCTATTTTCTCCTAATATCAATGTTTTCGACGCTGCTTTTGCATTTATTGTTTTAGATGGGAGTAAAAGTTTGTTCAACATGGTGACATATTTATCTGGTGATATAACTCCACAATCTATCATGTTGGAGGGTGTTATTCTGGACAGGGAAATCGGTAACCTTGTCAATGTTACCTGGTCGCCTCTCAGGCTCCCTTGTTTTGGGTCGGATGTGTTTTCCTTTGAGCATTTGTTAGGGGATTCTTCCTCTCCCCCTGAAATTATTCCTCTTCCTCATGTTCCTTCTAGTGCAGGTGTTGGATCATCCATCAACTCGTCTCTTTCTCGTAAACGCAAACGTACATTAACTCCTTATCAGTTTGAGGATTTTCTTCGTGAGGTATCCATATCATCCATTCCTTCATCCTCCGAGCCTACTGGTTATCCTTTTTTTCCTTTTCGTTTTATTGGTTATCATTTTTTGTTTTTAAAGGATTGTGCCGCTTGCCATTCATTTCAAGAGGAATTTGACGAACCTTGTCGTTTTATGGATTGAGCTGAAAAGATAATTTCCATTGCCCTTAGTAAGGAAGTGAAGTTTTTTTTATGGATCTTGACCCTTCGTGATCGTTATCTCTCTGTTGAAGTTAACCTATGGGCTGCTGATAGTATGAAGTTGGATGGAGAGGAGGTTCTTATGAAGGAAGGTGGTATGTATGTCGAGTTAGTTGAGCAACATCGTGCTGTGATTGGTATGGTTGTTGTCTTGGAGAATCTAAGAGCATTGTTGGAGGCTGACTATAAGAGGTGTCTTTGGGAGAATGAAGTTCTTCGTGCTCAATTGTCTACTAAGTTATCTTAACCTTATGGCGAACTAGTTATGCTATTTTGTTTTTTGTTGTTTGCAAGCAGTGATGTTATAGTTGCTTGCTAATGTAACCAGAACATCCTATGTGCTCATGCAAACCCTAATGCTTGGATCTAGGTTTATCTATTGTACATGCATTCATCCAAGTCTTTGAAACCCTAGATCTAGCATATGATATTCGAAATTAACACATGTAAACAGATCTAGATGATTACCTTGTTGTTGATTGAAGATCTTGAAGCCTTGAGAACCTTAGCACCTCAAGTGTTGTGCCTCTAATGAATCACAAACACCAATAGCAATTGGAGGAAACAAGAGAGAGAGAGAGAGAGGGGAGAGGAGAATTTTGGCTCTAGGACTTCTAGGGTTCAAGTGGCCGAAATTCCCATGCCTAGGGGTCCTTTATATAGGTGTAGGAATTAGGGTTTCAATGGTTATCCTTATCTGATTACTTAGCCACCAAGTAACCCAAGGATAATTCTAGAATCCCTATGGACGAATTCTTTAGGCTTTATCCCTAGAATTCATCCACCCTATCTATTAGGGTTTCCTTGCCCTACTTTGTAACTATCACATAATTAGAGTTCAACCCCTTAAGTTCAAAAACTTCTTTTGATCACAAAATTAATTCTTAATTAATTATTGACCAATATTAATTAAACAAATATGATTTCTCTTTTAATATTTATTCTTATAATATATAATAAACCATAATCACCTCTTCTATATTTTCCTCCAATCAAGTTGCTTTGGGGACGGCAACCAAAAGGACCATGCACACCGGGTCAAGTACATACCAAACATAGTTATCGACTTAGACACTAATCCAACAGTCTCCCACTTGGATAAGTATAATAACTATAAATGCAAATGCAACTTCTGGATCCGATTAGCAATCGCAGTTCTCAAAACTCTTGATCTTATCAATAACCTGTCCTAAAGATAAGGGATCGTATAATCCTCTGTTCTAGATATCGTGCGGAAAAATACATGGAACATAGTCATACTTATTGTCCATCAGTTGTTTTCTCGATCTCTGATTCATTTGACATAGAACTTAATTGAACACATCATTCAGTCCTGACGGGGCCCAACACATAAGTCAAATCAAATCATTGAGGGGCCCTGATATCGCTTTTATGCTCTTTAGGATAAAAGAACAGATAACTTCGACTTATATGCATTTACTATCCACTAATCAAATCATACACAACAATGCATTTTATAACATCAAATTACTGATACGTTTACGTATTATCAATACACAACCAATTAGTAAACAACAAACCATATATCTAGGTTTTAAGACCATATGATATTATCATCTTGCAATCATCGTGATAATTCCATGAAGTGATTCCAGCAAGCGCGGTCTAATCCAATGCTCAAATTAAACTCATAAGCACTCATGAACATTGTAGCAAGCTTTTGCTATGTCTAATATGTTGGGTTATGAGCATTCTAACACTCCTAAGTGTACATGCAACCCTAAATACCTTGGATCTATGTTTTCTCTATTATACATACAATTATGAACATCCAAGGTGTTATCCTAATCTAGCATACAAAAATAATAAATAAACAAGATAGAATACATACCTCTTTGATGTAGAATGTCTTCATGAAGCTTGAGTGCCTAGTGCCCCAAGTGTGACACCTCAAATGGTTCACACAACACCAAATACATTTGGAATAACTTGAGAGAAACTTGAACACTCCTTGAAATCGTCTAGCCCTCACACTCACACATTAGTGCACGATTTCTTGAGCCATGGGATTCTTTTATATGGTGGCTATTAGGGTTACACCATGTAACTCATAACTTTACCCATTCCTTATGCTCCATGGATTTTAACCTCCATGGAGTATCCATGGGTCACCCCATGGACTTAGTCCAACGTAAGGAATCTTGGATCACAAGCCCACATATATAAGAATGAATGATTTACACAATCACCCATATATTTAATTAGTCTCCTTTTGATCACTTAATTAATTCCAAATTAATTCTTGATCAATACTAATAAAATAACCTTATTAATATATTAGAACTTATAATATATAACCAACCTTAAGTTTATTTCTCTCATTATAGTCTATCCAAATGCATGATGCCATGCAACCCAAATGGACCATGCCGGGTCGGGTCAAGTCTTACCAATTATAGTTATGGACTTAGACATTAATCCAACAGTCTCCCACTTGGATAAGTCTAAAACTATTATTGCGTATGACTTCAGGAACCGATCAGCAATCGTAGCTCTCAAAAGCTTCTGTCGAACTCTGACCTTGTCGATGAACTGACCTTTGTCAATGACTTGTCCATTAGATAAGGGATCATATATTCCCTCCATTCTAGATATCATATGGACTGAGACATGGATTATCAATCATTCTCTCTGTCCATTTGTTGTTCCCGATTTCCGATTCATGATGACTGACTGATTGAACAAATCAAATCAGTCCTGGCTTAGCCAAGCACTCACATGTATCATCTTTAAATCATCGAGGGGCCCACATATATCGCTTTTATCCCGAAGGTAAAAGGAATGGATAAACTTCGACTCATATGGCTTGTTCTACGACTTGTTGAATCATACACAAAGGCACGTTTTATAACATCGAGTTACCAATGCGTTTTCGTGCAATCAATGTATAACCAACTCATAGTAACAACTCATATCTCTAGGTTGGAAATATAAGATATTATCGTCTCATGATCACTCGTGATAAAATCCATGAAGTGATTCAAATGAGCGCGGGTTGAATCCAATACTCAGAACTTATGAGCACTCATGAGTGTTGTGACACCACTTTGTCCACCAACTTGGACCTCTACAAACCAACCCATGATAATCTTGATTCATATCTACTTCCAACATATGACCGACTGTGGATGGTTTGAATAACTTAATCATTCAGGAAGAGCGACTTAGTTATTCTGGAAGTCAAAACATGCAAAGTGAAACACAAGAATAAATGAATCAAATATGGTATCAACCCTATGAATATAAAGAATACTTTTATTTATCACCATACTGATTACTCATTATTCATTGTTTCGGTTTTATCAACTTTATACTTGAATTTAAAACAATAGTTGTCCCATGCTCCAAGCATGTACACTATGTTTTCTAAACACTAGTCCATGCCATACACCAAGTATGCATACTATGTTTGTCTATGATCTTACTTTGTAAAATAGATCAATTGAACATCACTCAATGATCCTCTTTCACAGTCCCACAAATCCAATCCTACTAAAAATGCAAGAATTCCAAATTCATGCCATTTACTGAAATCTGTTAGATTCTAAACTTATATGCATTGATCCTCTTAATGATATGCACAAGTCAGAAAGACTTGACAACAATCATACAGAGCATTCCAAAGGAGATCAGCTCCTTGGAAACATCCTTCTTTCATTAAGTTTCCTAATCTTACACAGATTGAATAATTTCTAACTTTGAAACATTTCCATATTCCATTTTGACTATCACTTCTGAACAAGAGTTGCCTCCTTACAAATTATGTCAATATGGTCCTTCCAGAATTAACATTATACTTCCAACTGTCCTGAGCAACCAATCTTTGGTAAACCTTAGATGTCCTCGACAATTGCTTCAAGTTTTAGTCATATCCAATTCTAGACCTTTTCCCTTCATAATGCCCCAGGCATTTGGAAAATTTTAGAAAGGATGAATTATAGCACATGTAATCGATCCTATATCCGAAGCATATGGGACACGATTCATGATGTCTCACATAAAACTAAACCAGTCTTTTGCTATAATATTTCCATTTCAATTTGCCAAGTTTCCTCAAAATTCAGATTATGAAAAGGGATGCCGTAATCATAATCGAATTTTTGAACGCAAATAATGGACCCATATATAGAATTCCTTATGTTGAGCCATTCCAACATGAAATTCATATATATTACTTGATGAAATACAAAACGATTAAAACTCAATCTAAGCTTTTAGAATTGAATGAAGTAGAATTTCTCTCCCTTAATTATAGCAAAACAACTTTTTCAACACCCTGCAACCTCACGAATTGAAAACTTTGTTTTCTATAAGTAACATTGCTAACTTGCAACCTTTGTCATAATTATCAGGCTCCCACTAACATGATGATTATTAGCATAACACTTACTCCCACTAGCTTTGACATGTACTCAGAAATCAGCTGACTTTCTTACCAAAGTTCAGATTCTGATACTAGATTGTTTTGATAAAACTTTTCAAAATCATACACCTCTCTTAGATAGCTCACATGTGTGTCTAAACAATTTTAGAACTATGAAAGGGATGCCGTAATCATAGTCTCATTGTTTAGGACCTTTGCCACTTCTCAAAGTCCATGTTAGTGGCCGAAACCACACACGCTCCACTAACGACTTTGAGAATGCAAATATCACATTGCTATCTAGCTAAATCTACTTATGAAAGTGTTTCCCTCACCATCATTTTCATGAATCGGAGAGAAAACTTATGACACTTAGATTTAATAGTGTATGTGTTCTTATCCATGTGAATTTGTCAAAACCATAATCACAAGACAAGGTTAGTGACAAATCCAAACTCAATTGATTAAAACTGTTGCAATCTTAAATTCTTGCCATTTGCAGCTCAGGTGCCTGCCATTGCTTCCAAGTAGTTGTCAACCAATTGAGAACTCTCAGAACTCCTATGCAAAGCCAACTTGAATAGGCACAAAAATTTCAACACGATAGGTTATAAAACTCAAGTCGTGTGCTAGTGAAGGACTTTAGGTTTTATTCTTGATTAGTCCTTGAAACTTTCAAGAGCTTTAGACTCCCACTGTCCTCTTGACATATAAGACTCCCTTGTCAAATATTCAAGAGATAGTGCGGATTCTTTATCAGACTAACACTTTTACAATTGGCCTAAGTTGGTCTCTGTTTTATCCAAAACATCACAACTTACCAATTTCAAATGTACAAGAGTAGATAACCTTTTACTCTTACA